AGGGCATGCAGGTATGTTAAGGTATGAAGTTATTACGTGAGGGTGTGCAGGTATGGCAGAGGGGGCGGGTATGTGAGGGCATGCAGATGTGTGAGGACATGCAGGTACATGAGGCATGCAGTTACGTGAGGGCATGCAGGTACATGAAGGCATGCAGTTACGTGAGAGCATGCAGGTACATGAAGGCATGCAGTTACGTAAGGGCATGCAGGTACATGAGGGCATGCAGTTACGTAAGGGCATGCAGGTACATGAGGGCGTGCAGGTATGTGAGAGTGTGCAAGTATGTCAGGGCATGCAGGTAGTACCTGAGGGCATGCAGGTATGTGAGGGTGTGTAGGTACGCGAGGGTGTGCAACTATGGCAGAGGGAGAGGGTATGAGAGGGCGTGCAGATGCGTAAAGGCATGCAGGTACATGAGGGCATGCAGTTACATGAGGGGTGCAGGAATGTGAGGCATGCAGATACTAGAAGGTGCACAGTATGTGATGGCGTGCAGGTATGTAAGGGCGTGTGGGTACATGAGAAAGTGCAGGCATGTAAGGACACACAGACATGAGGGGCAAGGTGGGAGGGGAGCGCAGGTATCAGCCCGTGCCCAGGGCAGCCTTTGCCGCTGGGACAGGAGCCGTTCTGCTCCCACAGGACTCTGCACAGTCACTCTGTAACTGAGGGCCCCGAGACTAAGAGCAAGAGCCAAGATGGAAAGCGCCCAGCCTAGCTCAAGCTCCTCTCCAGACCAGACAAGGGGCCCTCAGACTCCGAGGAGCGTGTCTCCCCGTGTCTCCATACCACGGGAACCCACCACCACCCCGCAACCCGGGGAACCTGGATCCGAGGGCCCAGCCCGGTGACAGTGGCACGGAGGAAGGCCAGACTGACAGCCAGCCAAGAGCAGAGGCCGGAAAGAGCCACGCCCGGTGGTTCAGAAGCAGATGGTGCAGAAATGGAAAAGCACTTCAAAGCCACCAAGATGGCTGGGGTGCGGGGAGAGAGCCACAGGAGGGAGGGGGTGGCCACTCCCTCCCCTGCCAGCTCTGGAGCCCACTCCGAATTCCATTTGGGCTGTCAAAGGTGGGATGGCCGGAGGCCAGGGACCCAGGGAGCCGGGGTGCTAGCGACAGAGGAGAAAGGACTCAGAGACACGAAGGGAGAGGCCAAAGGCGCAGAGAAGAAGGCGGCAGACGCCAGGAGACATCGATGAGAGAGATGAGGGCAGAGAAGCAGAAGCAGCAAGCAGCTCCCGGGGCGCACCCAACACACGCTCACACACACACATACACACACAAGTACTCACACACCATGCACACAGGCGCACACACACTCACACAAGTATCCACACACCATGCGCACACACACTCACACAAGTACCCACACACCTTGCACAAACATGCATACGCACACACTCACACAAGCACTCACACATCATGCACACACACACACACACAAGTGCCCACACACCATGCACACACAGGCACTCTCACACACTCACACAAGTACTCACATGCCTTGCACACACATGCACACATATGCACATTCATACAAATACCCACACAGCATGCACACACAGCACAGTCTCACACATTCACAAGTACCCACAAACACCGCACACGCACACAACACGCACACACTCACACATGCACACACCCTCTCATACCCGCAGTTGAGGGCTACACAGGACGTGGGCAGGTGATCGGGGACCAGGACAGAGAAGTTCTGTGGACACTCCATGCGGGCGCTCAGGTACCCCCATCCACGGCGAGGCACAGAGCAGGGGTCACTGCCTGCTGAGCCTGTGTCCTTGGGGCCCAGGGCAGTCCTGGCACTTCTGAGATGCCCAACTGGGGGCCCCTGGTTCATGTCCAGACTGGGCCTGGCCTGTCCCCTGTCTCTGTGCCCTGACCCCCAGTGCCCCTGCTGGGCACCACGTGTCACCCACGGGGTCTGCTCTGTGCAGGAGCTATTCAGGGGGAGCACCCCACAGTTTCTGCACAGCTTTGGTTTGTTTTTGTTTTGTTTTGTTGTTTTGTTTTTCGGGTCACACCCGGCGACGCTCAGGGGTTACTCCTGGCTCTGCACTCAGGAATTACTCCTGGCGGTGCTCAGGGGGACCCTATGGGATGCTGGGAATCGAACCCGGGTCAGCCGCATGCAAGGCAAACGCCCTCCCCGCTGTCTGTACAGCTTTGGGGAGGCGGCTCATCTCGTCACTGGGCAGCCAGCTGACCCCGCTCAGCGTCCCCGCCCACTCCTGTCCAGGCCCAGGGGCACTCACGCCCAAATCCCTCTCACCTTCGCTGTGCCCAGAAGCCCCAGCCCCGGCACGAGGGAACGCTGTCCTGGGGCGCCACCTAGCGTCCATCGGGTGCAGAGTCCGGCTGCTTCCCGCCGCTGGGTGGTATCTGGAAGGTCATTTGCCCTCCCGAGGGGCAGACAGACATACCCCACGGCCTCATGGGCATCTCTACCCGGTTTCCCCCCGGCGCCCCCCATTCAACCTTCTTCCGTGGGCTCCGAGGAAGTCTTGCAGAGCCTTCCTGGGGATCAGCAAGCAGGAACAAGGAAAGACCCCCCACCACACACACACACACACGTACACACACTGACGACACACACACATACACACACTGACGACACACGGTGGGTACCGGGAAGAAGAAACAGCGAGTGAACATCACGCAGAAGAAAACAAGCTATTTTTTTTTTCGTGTTTTCTTGAATCCCTGTGAATTACAGTTACACCTGATTTTGTTCCAGCACCCATTCAAGTATCCACTTCCCTCCCTCCACCAATGGCCCCGGTTACACACACACACACACACACACACCACCAACCAGTTCTCTTGCTCTTCACTTCACTGCCTTTTGCATTCGTTATTCCCTCTGAAACCCAGCCACAGCCATGCTTAAGACCACTCTCCACACGCTTGGACGAGCCTCACGCATGAAGGAACCGGCAGAGGAACCCAGTAGCTAGGCGTTACACCCACCACCTGCCCCCGGCTGCCATGTAATCCCATCAACAGCCAAGACCCAGAAACTATAAAACCAAGCTCCCGGAAGAGAACAGCGCTGAGTCTCCTGCCCCCGCGGCTGGTTGTCCCCACCGGGGCCCCTGGGGGGGGGGGAGCAGGTTGAGTTTCCCTCCCTGCCCTGAGCAGAGCCCCGGCAGCTGAAGACCTCCGGAACCAGCCACAGCCAGGCTTAAGAACACTTTCCACATGCTCGGATGAGCCTCACGCATGAAGGAACCGGCAGAGGAACCCAGGTGTGCGGGACCCGGGGCTGAGATCTCCAAGGCTGCTCGGATCGGGACTGAGCCTCCTCCACCCAGACCCCCATCTTCCAGTATCCTGGCTCATTCCTGAGTGCATGAGCCAGGAGGAACCCCTGTGCATTGCCAGGTGTGACCCAAAAGCATAAAAAAAAAAGCCCGCCATTTCCCAGGTTGCTAGCAACTGAATAAAACTGATTTTCACACATCAACCCTATTTCTCTAGTAACTGGCCTTTCAGCTACCAACTCCCAACTTTATTACTGAATCCAGTAACAAAGAAACCTCTTTACACTGTTTTTAAAAATCCAGAATCAGGGGCCAAAGAAACAGTAAAAAGGGTAGCACTGTCCTACCGTTGTTCATTGATTTGCTTGAGTGGGCACCAGTAACATCTCCATTGTGAGACTTGTTGTTACTGTTTTTGGCATATTGAATACATCACGGGGAGCTTGCCAGGCTCTGCCGTGCGGGAGGGGTACTCTCGGTAGCTTGCCGGGCTCTCCGAGAGGGATGGAGGAATTGAACCCGGGTCAGCCGCATGCAAAGCAAATGCCCTATCCGTTGTGCTATCGCCCGAGTTGGATTCTTGACACTCCATATGGTCCTAGGAGCATAGTCCTAGGTCCCTGAGTGCGAAAGCAGAAGGAAGCCCTGAGCCTCACTGAGTGTGATCTGAAAACAACAAAAATTCCAAAATCAGTCCTGGGTTGTGGCCCAGCAGTAGAACACTGGCCTTAAATGTAGAAGGTTTTTGTTTCCCACAACCATTAAAATAATATATATATATTTATTTATAGGCAGGGTCCCAAACAGATTATTTGTGTGTATTTATCTCTATATATTTAACATGTCAGAAACTAAATTTTTTTAATTGAAATATTTTTAAGTTCACATATAACAACAAATCCAATGCAGGCTAACATAAATAACATCTCTTTACGTAAATAATTATATTGTCCCAAACTAAAGGAAATAATGGAAAAACAGTGAGAGTTTTTCTGCATTTTTGCAAATGTCTTTTAATGTTTTGTCCCAATGTCTTGCTGAACGGAAGACAGCTGCATTCTCCAGCCGCAAGCGCTCTAAGTGATTCGTTCGCTTCGGTTGAAGTATATGAACAAAGATCTAGCCTTAACATTTTCCTTAAAATCAAGAACACTGGGGGACTGGAGCAATAGCCCAGCGGGTAGGGCGTTTGCCTTGCACGCGGCTGACCCGGGTTCGATTCCCAGCGTCCCATATGGTCCCCCAAGCACCTCCAGGAGTAATTCCTGAGTGAAGAGCCAGAAGTAACTCCTGTACATCGCCGGGTGTGACCCAAAAAGCAAAAAAAAAAAAAGAAAGAAAAAAAACCAAGAACACGGGTAGAGCACTTGACTTGCACACAACCGACCCCGGTTCGATTCCCGGTACCCCACATGGTCCCCTAAGCCCCGCTGGGTGTGAGCCCCTCCCGCCCCCTGAAGAATAAATCAAAAATACTAAACGTTCAGGTTCAGCCGCAGCGGAGATGAAAGATGCTCATCTCAGGGGCTTAGCCTGGGCTAATTGCGGACGACTTCCGGGAGAAGGCGTGGCCAGACGCGCCCAGAAAACGTCCAATCGAGATTGGACCATCGAGGAGTCCTTCTGCTCCTTAACCCCGCCTCCATCCCCGCCCCCTCCCCCGAAAGGCGCATGCGCCCCACGCTGACGGCTTCTTCCGCCCTCGGGGGGGGGGGGCGGCCGAGGCGGAAGTGACGTGGGGCGTGGGGCGGTACCGAGCCCGGCCATGTCGGCGGCCTTGCTGCGGCGGGGTCTGGAGCTGCTGGGGGCGCCGGAGGGTGAGGGGGCGCGAGGGGGCGCGGGGTCGGGGTGGGCGGGCGGCGGGGAGCCCCGCGCGCGCGCCCCCGACCGGGTCGTGCTTCTCTTCCCCTTCCAGCCGCCCCGGCGGACCCGGCCCCGGCGAGCGCGGCCGCGGGGAAGCGCGCGAAGCGGAGAGCGAAGGCGGCGCAGGCGCAGAAGCTCCGGAACTCGGCCAAGGGGAAGGTGCCCAAGTCGGCGCTGGGTGAGCCGGGCGCCGGGGTGGCCCCCGGGCCTGCGGGCCTGCGGAGGAGCCTGCTGCGCAGAGGGCGGAGGCCCCCAGGCTGAGGGCGGTGCACGGAGCTCCGGGGTGCCAGGGCTCACCCCGCCATCCCCGCCTCCTCCTCCTCCCCCCTCCCCCTCCTCCTCCTCCTGCTACCGGGCCCGCGCCCGGGGGGGGTGGGCCACTGGCCAGACTCGGGTTTCCAGGGCGGCCGCCGAGCTCTAAGCTCTGAGCTGCTCCCGTTTTAGTGCTCCCTGAAAAAGCCTCTGGCCGGCACCGCCACCCTCCCCCGCCCCGGCCATCCAGCGAGGTGACAACTGTACCCATCATCAGCCTCAGCAGAAGCATCTGGTCCCGGGCTGGGGACGGAGACGGGGTCAGGGTCGAGGTCGGGTGGAGCGCGTGCCTGGCCAGCACGAGGCCCTGAGTTACCGTGACCTAGTGGAACGTGCGCAGAACACCCGGCTGCTTTGGCTTTATTTGGGGGGGGGCGGGGGGTGGGGTTTAGACCCGGCGATGCTCAGGGGTTCCTCCTGGCTCTGCACTCAGGAATCACTCCTGGCGGTGCTCAGGGGACCCTATGGGATGCTGGGAATCGAACCCGGGTTGGCCACGTGCAAGGCAAACGCTCTGCCCGCTGTGCTATCGCTCCAGCACCAAGCCCGGCTGCTTTGGGAACTTGGGGAACTTGGCACGGATGCTCCCCTCCATCTGCCGTGCCCCTGCAAAACTCCACTCATCCTGAGTCTGCAGGATCCCTCCCCACAGTGCTCTTTGCTCCGCTTATGCATCACAGGTCTCCCCTGCCCTGGAAGAGCCTGACACACACACACACACACACACACACACACACACACACACTCTGTTCCCGTGGTCTCCCCTGCCCTGGAAGAGCCTCACACACACACACACACACACACACAGTGTTCCCGTTACCCTCACACACACACACACACACACATATACACACAGTGTTCCCGTTACCCTGATGACTGAGCAGAAGGCGGTGGGGGGGGGGGGGAGGTGGGACGGGGGGCCCCCAAAAAGGAGTGGAGCTAGGGGAGCTTCAGTGGGGCGCGTGGCGGGCCTGGGGACGGGATCTGAAGGGCTGTCTCCTGCTTGTGCCCACAGCGGAGTTCCAGAAACGCCAGAGTCGGGGCCACCTCAGGGAGAACGTGAAACTCCTGATGGAGGCGCGAAGCCCCGTGGCTGAGGCTGTCACCCGGCAGGTGTGGGCACCGTGGGTCGGACCCAGGGGAGAGCTAAGAGGGGGGCAGAAGGACCTAGGGCAGTGGGGGGGGGGGGTGTCCCTGGACCCTGGTCACTGTCCACTCACACACCCCCTCCTCCCTCCCAGATCCTGCGGCAGAACCGTGGTCGCAAGGCTTGTGATCGGCCCGTGACCAAAACAAAGAAGAAGAAGGCGGAGGGCACTGTGTTCACAGAGGAGGACTTCCAGAAGTTCCAGCAGGAATATTTTGGCAGCTGAGGGTCCGGAGGGAAGGGGCCAGCCTGCCCTGTTACTGACCATGGGACGCGGGGAAGGGCACATGTGGGCCCCGAGGCCACCCCAGCCTGATGAAGAGGGTGGGCCTTGGGCCTAATAAAAAGCGGGCTCTGGCCCTGCCGTGTGCTGGCTCTGCCTTAAAGGGGGTCTTCTCCCCAAGATGCCCCGCCAGAGTGTGAAGCCAGTCGGCTGACAGGGAGGCCCTCACTCTCTCAACCCCCGCTGTGTCCTGGGGGAGGCTGAGGGCTTTTTCTCTTGACATGAATCTGCCTGGGCCCGTGTAGCTTTGTTTTATGTAACAGGAACTAGAAGCCTGACAGTGCCCAAATGGGACAAAGAGGCAAGTTAGAGGTGAGGTCTGGGGTACTTCTGTGGTGAGTTACGGATCCTGCGCTGGCATAATTGTGACTGTCACCCGATACACGATGCTGGTTTCATCTCCAGACCACATAGGGTTCCTGGAGCCCCCCAGAAGGGATCTGAGCTCAGACCAAGTCTGGTTTGACACTGGAACGGATTCAAGCCCAGGCCAGCTGGCAGTGGAAACAAACACCCAGTGGTTGGTGTGCCCCGGCATCTCCTGACCCTGGGCCTCAGCTAGGGGGCATCCTGCGGGGCCCTTTTTCCTTCCTTCTCTGCAGCAGGAAGACCCCCTGCGAGGGGGCAGGTACCAGGGGCAAGGCCTGCCTCCCAGATACAGACCTGCCAAGAGCATCCTGAGTCCACACTGATCACCACTGTAAAGGGTAGTGTGTTACCCAGGACAGTTCTAGGGACCAGCCCCAGGGCCATGACAGTTTAGTAAAGCTGCCACTTGCACTCGGGCCTCTCAGGAGTCTAGGAACTCAGGTTTCAGCCTGGTGGAGACACTGCCACAGGTCCCTCAGGATTCCAGAAACCTGAGCTCAGGCTCGTAGTGGGTGAGCAAATCCGCCCTCCCCATCTTCCTCCAGTTTGTCATCTGAGTCCTCATTGGGGAGCCCTAGCACGTAATCCCGAAGGATTAAGGCCCAGATCCTGAGCATTTGCAACCCTTCTCAACTTAGTTAATTCCAGAGACCCTGGGGGTAGGGAGATATTTCAGCCCACCTGCCAACCAGCTTAGTCCTGCAGCTGGCTTCTAGTAAATCAAGAGACCAATGGTGCTTATGCTACAAAATAATTTATTACAACACCAGCGCAAGCCTATGTACAAGCACACTCCAGTCTAGCTAGGGCACCCGCTTCTTGCCCCTGGCCCTGCGGACCTCCTCCATCAGGTCTTTCAGGTACTGGATCTCCTTGGCCAGGGAGTCGGCGCGCTCTTTCAGAGCCTCGTTCTTCTTCTCCAGCTCTCTGCACTCGCCCGTCAGGGCCTCCTGCTCCGCCCGCTTCTTCTGGCGGTACCTGGTGGCTGCCGTCTTGTTCTGCTCCATCTTCTTCAGCTTCTTGTCTAGCTTCTCGCCCTTGAGCTTTGCTGCCACCATCCTCTCCCCAGGAGGGTCGTAGGGCTTGGGGCGGGCAGGGCCACCACAGAGGGCACCTGGGGAGGAGAGCAGGCCCCTACTGGGCGAGCCCCTGGTGGCAGGGGGGCTATGCTGGGGGGAGCCCAGGTAGGAGTCGGGGCTCATGCAGACGCCGCTGTCGTTGTCTGAGGGGGCATCTTCCTCCTTTATGCACAGAGAGATGGCAGTGGCGGGGGCCGCGGCATCGGGCTTCCTGTCCCCGGCAGCGATCACCACCTCGCTGCCCAGCTCTAAGCTAAAGGCGTGGTCTGGAGTGGAGGGCAGCGGGCCGGGAGAGGGGGGCAGCGGCTGCAGGAAGGTGAAGGGGGCAACCTGGTCTGCTTTCGGGGAACTTTCTGGAAGATGGCCAATGGGGTTCTCGACCTGGGGGGGCTCCTTGTCACTCTCCTGGAGTGGGTCAAAGAGGCCGCCGGTGTCCAGCGTGGCTAAGAGCTCGTCGGGCATGTCCAGGTCGCCGAGATTCAGCAGGCTGTCGAAGTCAAACTCCTTCAGATCCATCTTCTCCACCATCCAGTCTGTGCCCGAGAAGGCATCTTCTAGAGGGGCGGGGGGAGGGGGCGCGGGTCAAGCACGCGGCACCGGGTCGCCGCCCCACCCCGCCCCCACCGCGGCCACGGGGCGCCGGCTCACCCTTGCCGCCGTCCACCGCCAGCCACTCGGAGCAGCCCGCCCTAGCCTTGTCGCCGGAGAGCCCATGGGGTCTGAAGTGCTTGGCCACCTCCAGGTAGTCGTCCAGGAGGCCGAGGCCCTCTTCAGCCCCCAAACCCGACGGGTCGAAGGGGGACATCAAGTCCCCCCCCAACACCTCGCTGCCCAGGAAGCTCATCTCGGCCATGCTGCGGGGCTCGGCTGCCGGACTCGGGGGACGTGCTCAGCTCGAAGGTGTCTTTGTCGGTGACAGCAACGCTGCTGCTCAAGGCCGTGAGAAGCCTGCGGGGGGGGGGGGCACCAAGACCCCGGCCCGTGAGTGGGGGGGGGGCCGCCGGGCGGGGGTCAGCCCCGCAGCAGCCGCCGCCGCGACCCGGCGCCCCCGCTCGCCCCGCCCACGTGGCCGTGACTCACGCGCCGCCGCCCTGCCCCGCCGCCATCTTGGCCCCTGCCACGTTTCCCGGGGGCGCCGGGGCCGCGCGTCCCCGAGGCTCGTAAAAGCCGCTTCCCTCCCCGCGACGCCCGAGCGCCGCGCCCCTGCAAGCCGGAAAGGCCCCGCCGCGCCCCGGCCCTGCTCCCCGGCCGCCCCCACCCCCACCCCCACCCCCGGGCACGCCTCGGTCCTTACGCCATGGCTTAAGCCGCTGGGGGGTGCCGCTGCAGAGCCTGGTGCTGCTGCCGCCGCTGCAAAGGCCGATGCTGCCGCAGGCACTGCTGCCTCTAATGCGCCATGGCGGCTGCGGACCCTGTGGGAGCGGAGGAGACAGGCGCGCGCTCACGACACCACAACCCACATCGGCGGACGGAGGAGAAATGGCCGCGCCTCGCCCGACGTGGGTCTATTTATAGACTTGGCGCCGGCCGGGACGCATCACTCCCCGCGCGGTCCTTCCGCCGCGGTCACGTGACCGGGTCTTTTCGGCCCTGCGTTTCCATCCCGCGCGTGCCCGCCCCGGCAGCCCACCCCCGCACCCCATGCAACAGTTTTTAATAGCCCAGGCGTAGCCGCGGAGACGAAACGAGGAACTTTCAGGGTTTCACGACGTTTTTAAAAAGGCGCACTACTTTGCAAGATGGAAACGTCGCCCTTCCCTCTGCCGCCAGGGGCGCGGAGGGATCTCAGACACCTTCATTTCCGGTGTCACCTCGAAGCCTTTCAAGGAAGGTTTTTTTCTTTTAATTGTGAAGCGCCAGGGGCGGCAGCCTCGTAATCGCGCGAGATGCTGTAGGAGAGCGCGCGTGGCGCTAATTGGCCAGGCACGATGAGTCATAGTTATCTCCCTCGGCTATTGGCCCGGGCTGAGCGGGTCGGCGCGAGAACGGGGCGGGGTCGCCGGTTCGGTTCCCGCCGCCGGGCTCGGGCGTCGGTCTCCTTGTCCGCGCCTTTCCAGACGCTTTGGCCGCTTCGGGCCGCGCTCGCGGAGGCGCCCCGAGGGTTGGAGCTGCGCCAGCGGACAGAGCGTGCCGAGGAGAGTCCGGCGCCCTCCACGGCCCGCCATTGTCGGGTCCTGTGGTGGCGGCGACCGCGAGCTCCTTTCACCTCCGTGATCCGCACAACTCCGATTTCTGTGAGAGCTGTGATGTGCTCCCCCCGCAGAGAAAGTTGTAGGAAAAAGCGACGTGGGAAACTGCGTATCCACCACAGAGTCGTCATTATCTTCATCCGACAAATTTTCAAGATTTAAAAAAAAAAAAGTGGGAAGGTCCCCGGGATGCCTCACACAGGCCCAAGCCTGCTCCCCGCGGACCCTTTTCTCGTCAGTGTCGGCGGGGACTAGTCAGATGCCAGGTGCAGTCCAGGGTCGGAAGGAGCTAGGTGGCAGGTTTCAGGACAAACCTGGCTCTGCCACTGCCTGGACGTGTGGAAAGCGACGGAGCCGTTTCCTCCTCGATGAAACATGGCTCACCATGTGCACCCTCAGCCGAGCACCCTCAGCCCCGGGCTGAAGTGATTATCGCCAGGATCAGGACTCGGGTGTGACTCGACCTCCAATTACAGTAACATCATCCTGCTTCCTTGGCTTTTGTCACGGAGATGAAACCAACTATAAACTGGCTATGCATACAGGCTCTGAGGGTTCTAGAATAATCTTTCTTGGCCAAGAATCCCTCCCTAGGCAGGGAGATAGTTTAAAGGGTTAGGCGCTGCTTTGCATGTGGGAGCCCCAGGTTGGATCCCCAGCACCTCATGGTCCCAGAGCACTGCCGGCAGTCTCTGAGCACGTCCCAAAAAATAAAATTCCTGCCTGAGCACACCTGTTCAAAGGCCTAACTTGGGCCACTCAGGACACGTGACCTTTTTGTGCCATCAAAGGGCAGCACCTCCAGGAGACAGAGAAAGCAAGACAATGCCCGTTTTGACGCTGCTGAGATCATGGAAGAATGACTCTGCAACGTTTCTGTCATCTCTGCTAAGGATGACACTGGAGAGCTGGTGGCATTCTTGTGTTTCAGGCCACACTCCAAAGCCAAAGCTTTTGCATGTCATGGAAGCACATCCCAGCTTCATTTCCTTCCTGCAGGAGAAAGAGTTGATGGTTGTCTCTGTTTTGGGGGCAAAACTGCTTCTCTGTGGACCTTGCCAAGGCAGGATAGATCAGTGACTGAATTCTTTTATTCTTTTTGCAGTGATGCACAGGGGTTACTCCTGGCGGTGCTCGGGGGACCATATAGGATGCTGGGAATCGAACTCAGGTTGGCCACGTGCAAGGCAAACGCCCTACTGCTGTGCTATTACTCCAGCCCCTGAATTCTTTACCTGTTAAACACAGCAGGCTCTGCCAGAGTGGCCAAGTGATTGGAGGGTAAGCTGCAGGATTAACCTCGGAGACCAAGACTTTACAGTGGGGTAGAGTGATAGTACAGCCAACAAGGCGCTTGTCTTGCACACAGCTGACCCAGGCTGGGTCCCCCGACACCCCATATGGTTCCCCAAGCCCATAAAGAGTGATCGTTGAGCATACAAGACCAGAACAAAACCAAAAAAATTGACTGAGATCATCAAAAAGAAAACACAAAACACAGCGGGTAGGGTATTTGCCTTGCATGTGGTCGACCCGAGTTCCATCTCCGGCATCCCATAGGATCCTCCAAGCACCACCAGGAGTAATTCCTGAATGCAGAGCTGGGAGTAACCCCTGAGCATCACTGGGTGTGACCCAAAGCAAACAAACAAACAAAAAAAGAATCAGCAGCTGAAGGCTCTGACCCAGCTCTGACCCTCGCAAGTGCCAGCTGGGCTCCCGCCCGAGTGTCCACTCCTTCCCCAGCTCCGCCTGAAGCTTTGGCAAGAAGGCTGGTGTTCTCACCAGGCGCACAGGGGCCCCTCCACGAAGTCTGGTCCTGAAGCTAATTCCTCTTCAGGAGCACTGGAGCTCTCAATATGAGTACTGGGAGCTCCCCAGGCAGCTCAGAAGCAGGAACAAAGGTCGCGAGCTGCAGCTAACAGGAGCCTCGCGCCTCTCCAAACCCACATGGAGTCTTCCTTTATTGGAAAAAAGTCACAACCAAGCATCTGAAGAAAAATAGTTTTCCTGGACTAGCGATCTTTTTCAAACAGAGCAGATCAACATACACTTTGGAATTGCTCTGGTTTTCAAGATGAGGCGGCTTTTTAAGCTTTAGGCGAACCTCTAGGATTCCCCCGAATGTTTAGACTGAGCACGAGCGGATGCTCTTACTCAAGACCACAGTTACTGAGAAGCAAGATGGGTGGAGTGGGGGTGAGAGGAGGAAGTTCCCCAACTTTCCCCAAAGATTATTTTAAAGTGACTGGGGGAGGGACATATTATCCTCTTCCATCCAAAGATCCGCCACGCATGTGGTGTGTGATGTGCCCAGTGGGTGAAGGGTTGGAACTGCTCTGCCTACGGCTTCCAGTGATGCGCTTTGGGGGTGGGGACAGCTGGAGTTGACCTGGGCCTCCTGTGTGAAAGGCATGCCACCAAAACCAAACTGCGCCTCCCCAAGAATGGCACGACCTCTGCTCTCCTGGCCTTGCCCCTCAGATCCCAGTGGGTTCCACACAACATCCCCTCTCCCCCTTGTCCTCTGTACTAGGGCTTCTCACCCCTGCCCACTTGCTTCCTTCCCATGGTCACCGAGTCTCCTCGTGCCCCCCATACCAGACCTTTCCCCTGTGGTCCCTTGAACTACCCAGGGGCCCCCAACAGAGAATCACTGCTCTACACCCATCACTCCGGGTGAAACTCGGCATAGAGATTTTCTAGCTCCAATTTGTTTGGGATCTTTGCCTTTTCTTCAGGGCCACCAGTGGTGTTCAGGGCGACTCCTAGAGGTGCCGGGGACCGAGCCCAGCCTTCAGCGAGCAAAGCATGCCTTCGCCTGGGGAGCCACTGCCCAGGCCCCTGAACTCCGCTTTGATTCTGACAGCCTCGGCAGAGCTCTCCCAGGCCTGAGTGCTGCGCTTCTCTGTGGGCCCACTGAGTCACCGGAGCGACTTCTGCGTGCATGTGAGAAGAGGCAGGAAGAGTCTCCCCACACAACCAAGGCTGGCCCAGTTCTCCACCCCACCCCAAGCCCACACCCAGACCGGCGCCCCTCCCTGAAGTTCCAAGGGTGGCCAAGGCCCCACTGCTCTTTGCCGTCACTCCGTGTCACGGCGCAGGAAGGGAACAGCTGCGGAGCTGCGGCGGGCTCACAGGGGGAGGCAGTGAGAACAGGAAGACAAGAACTGCCTAGTGGAGGCGCAGATGAGACACGGGTCACCAGCCACGGCAGAAAAGACGACACAGGACAGGCAGCTGCAGACACTGTGTATTCGCCACCCGTCCCTCGGCGCCGGCACACTGCGGGAACAGCGCGACTCTACGGCGGCCACGCAGGGGCCCCCACGGGCTCTCCCTAGCACCCGTCTCCCCCGGGGCCGCGGAGGACAGCCTCTGGAGGTGCCCAGACATGGTGGGGAAGGAGGGGCCGACGGGCCTCTCTGTGCTCTAAGGTGAGACCCATGCAGGCGGGGCCCGGGCACAAGGTCGCAGTCCAAACCAGAGCTGGGCTCCAGCGCCACCACCTGGGACCTGCATGGCTAAGGCCGTGTCCTCGAGGATCTCACCCGAGTTGGCGACAAGGCCAGGAAATGGGTGACCACATTCTCCCGCAGAGGAGTCCCTGGCCACCCCTCCCCTCCAGGGCTCGCCTGCCCGTGACTGTTCCCTGCTCTGCACTCTCCCGGCTGGCCACTAGGACACACCCTCCACATAACCAGGTGCCCACTGGATCCTGCACCTCACTGCACCCTGGGGGGGGGTGGGGGCGCGGCTGCAGGACCAGCCACTCTGCAACACAAGTGAAGTGACAGGACGGGGAGGGGAGGAGGGGAAGAGACTTCTTTTCCAGGGCCCCGGCTCAGAGACCTGCTCCTCCGCCGCTGCGACCCCGAAGCCTGAAGACCGTCAGGGTGGTCGCTCGGCTCAGCCCAGGCCGGCCTGGGAACTGCCGCCAGGACTCTGCGGGACCCTGCGCTAAAGGCAACATCCTGATCAGGCAGAGGTGACCCGTGGGAGAGAGCAGAGAGAAGGCACAAACGAGGGGGGGGGAAGACACGGAAAAGAGGGACAGAAGCAGACGCGGCCGACGACACCGAGTGGTCCCAGCTCGGGCCGGAGCCCACCTGCCCAGTTCATCCAGAGAGAGCCGGAGCCGCGGTGGGGGGCAAAGAGCACAGTGTTGTGTTTGGTAACAAAAATAGAAAGGGCTGCGTGAGAACAGAACGGAGGACGTGGATCTGATCCGCGGGGCGTGACAGGACGGGACGTGACAAGGGCCATGACCAGCAGACAGGAGGCCCCGGGGGAGCCTGGGAGGCACCAGCTTCACAGCCAAGGGTTTGGAACGGACCATCCGGGGCCCGCGCCCACCCCGCCCCTCCCCTGCCCTACGTCTGCAGCAGCACCTCTGGCTCGGACAGCGAGGAGTACAGGGTGTAGCCCAACTCGTCTATCTCTTCGGGGGTGAGCTCTGCGAACAGATTCACCTTGGGGTTCAGGGCGCTGGGCAGGACCCCAGCCTCCAAGTAGCTGATGAGCCCCCTGAGGGCCTGCAGGAAGCGGTCGGCCAGCATCTCCGCGGACCAGTCGGTCTCCTCCTGGGCCAAGTGGAGGATGACGTTGGTGAGCTGGCTGGCAGTGAGGTGGCCCAGGGCGGGGGTGGACTTGCAGATGGCCTTGAGGATCTTGAGGCACAGAGAGCGGCAGCCCAGGTCGGCCTGGTCCAAGGCCCGCAGGCGAGCCGTCTCGGCGGGACGCAGGCTCAGCCGCCACAGGTTGTCGTACTGGGCTAGTCGATGTGGCCTGGCCACCAGGACGGTGTCCCCAAGGGTCACCGACGGCAGAAAGTCAATGACGAGATGCTTGTCCCGCTCATACTGAACTTCCAGAGTCAGGGCCTCGGGGGGCGGGGCGGGCCGGATGATGTAGTCCAGGAGGGAGCCGATGGCCGGCCAGTTGATGGAGCCGGCCACGACCTTCTCAAAGGTGTCTGCCACGGTCTTGGGGGACAGGTAGCCCCCAACGACACAGCGGTCCCAGTAACTGCTCCCACGGGGAAAGTACTCGGGGTTCTCGCGGCGGACCAGGAAGAAGCCAGGGACGTTCATGATGGTGTCCTCGCCCGGGATGCACGACCAGAGGTTCTGCTCCAGCACGAGGGGCACGATGAGCTGGATGTGGTCAGCTGTCACCACCTGCGGGGACGGAGCGCAACAGTTGTGACGCGTTTCACCTGCTCTCGAGATGCTTCCCCAAATGCAAGTCCCACACTCTGGCCGCCCCAACAGTAACGGGGAATAAGAACTCCGCGACCCACGTCAACTCAGTGGTAGGGAAAGCTGGGTTCACGGGCGCCCCTACATCTCAGAGCATCAAGCGCACGCAAGAGCCCCGTGCCCTGGCAAGGAGGCCTGGCAAGGAGGGAACCAGAAAGCACGGATAAACAGGTTTCCCAGAGCTTCCTTCCGGGGCAGAGTTTGCTCCGGGGTCCAGGTCCCCCACCCTGGGGGTCCTCGGCAGCAGAGACCTCCCCCCAGATCTGCGGTGAGAAGCGTTACCTGCAGGTCGTCATAGAGGCTGCCGCTCAGGTACATGTCCCGGAGCGGCATGTCAGGCAGCTTGGCCCGCAGGAAGCTCCGCAGCTCGGCACATATGTCCACGGCAGCTTGCTTGGCCCGCGCCTGCTCGCCGGCGGGGATGGCCGCCCGGTCCCGGTAGTAAGTGAGCAGTTTCTCCTGCAGGGACATGCGGAGTCGTGACTTCTTCAAGTCTACCTGGCCCTTCCTGGCCAATGGCTTGGGCCGGGGCGGGCAGAACGTATCTGCCAAGGCAAGAGAGAGGCACGTGAGCTCTTCCCATCCTTGCTCGGATCTCGGCCCGAGTCCGAGAGTGGGGGGCAGGGGCGGAAGCCCCCAGGAGCATGGGTTTGCCGAACGCGGGCAGGGCGGGGCCTCACCGGTCTCGAAGGCGGAGGCGTCCGTGGGCAGCGCCTGCAGGGACCGGCTCATGCCCGTCTTCATGTCCTTGTTCAGCAGCCGCGGGGAGCCCATCCAGTTGGGCTCTTCCCAGCTCCTCTTCCCGGAATGGCCCAGGCGGGTGGGGCTGGTGGGGGCGCTGATGGCCCGGTCGTACATCTGGGAGCAGAGGGGACAGTGCTGAGCCATGGACCCGTGGTCCGGCCCCGCCCGCGACTGTCTGCCTCTAACTCTGCTCTGGGGACAACTGCATCGGAAATGATCTGGTGAGATTTACCCAAAATGCCACTGCCCGGCGATACCTTCACATCCAGATCTATTTTTTTCTCTTAGGGATGGGGGGTGGGGGGGCTTGGAGACCACTTCTGTCCTGTGTTTGGGGTGCTCCACATGCTGCCAGGGATCAAACTGGGGTCAGCTGCATGCAAGACGAGCGCCTTAACCCCTGCAGATCTCTCTGGCTCTGTCTGGAAAGACTTATGTAATGAGGATCTATAAATACCTCCAAACCTGATTTTTCTTTTTCACTGAAAACTCCTTTTTGTTTTTCCCCACACCACCTCAATGAATGCATGTAAACTTCCCATACAAAGATGCATTTGCTAACTACGGAACTCGGCATGGTACGAAAGGATCACAATGCAGAGTACCAAGTCACTGATTTCACACATATTACTCAGTGCGGTGACCATGCCAACCTGTCCCAGGCCCTTAGCAATCGGAACAGTGAGGGGACACACGAGGAGGAAAAACACGAAGACGGGAAGACAGCGAGAGTGACCAGGAGGTCACCGGCAATTTCTAATTCTGTATCTTTCCTGTGTTCTGGCCTGCACCAGGGAGTGCTCGGGGCTTCCTCCTGGCCCTGCACTCAGGGATTACTGGAGGCGAGCTCAGGGAACTTTCTGGGATGCTGGGGATCGAACCCACCGGTCACGTGCTTGGCAAATGCCCTCTGCACAATCCTGTCTCTCCGGCCCCTCTGCTTAGAGCTGTGATGTTTGCCACATAGTTCGTTAGCAGTGAGGCCACACTCTCTGTGTGTTCATCTCTCTGGGACCAGATGAACCGGCCTGAAGCCGGTTCTGAGCTGGCCAACACTGAGCCCGCCCCGCCTGCACTCCCATTTGCAGTGCTCTCACAAACACCAGGACGAGAAGCAGCTACAAGGTGCTCACAGCGTCAGGGTCACAAACGGCGTCTCAGGAAACTGGGACTGGGAACTCACGACCCTACCCCGCTAGGGCCGTCACTGCATCACCCCCCAGCCCACCCCCACAGCACTCTAGCCAGAAGCTCCGGGGCAGCCCTGGCGCCGACTCGCTAACCCCCAAGGCCAGGGCCCAGCCACGATGCCCCGCGCCCCGGGGTGCCCAGCCCTCCTGGGCTGCAGGCACTTACCCTCTTCACCGCCAGGGTGGCGATGCCCAGCATGGCGGCGCCGCCCACGCCCAGCACCAGCCGGGCATTGGAGAGCACAAAATCAATGGCCGTGCCGATGCCATTGTCATCCTTCTTGCCCTTGCGCTCGCCGGCGCCCGCCATGGCTCACCTGCGGAGGAAGCCAGACAGTCGTCAGCACCGGGACCGCCACGGCAGCCCTCCGCCTCGCACCCCCGCCAGTTAGAGCCCACGGCACGCTGGGGACCACCCTGGCAGGCACCGGAATACCCAATGCAAAGGCCTTAACCTCTGGTATATCTCTCTGGGGAGGACAAAGTCCCACGATCAGCGCCGACAATCAGTCTCACTCACTCGAGCCCCTTCCCAGCGTGACACTGGGACCACGGTGGATCTACTCTCTGAAGGGCCCGAACTAACAGATTCCCCAGGGCCCATGTAACCCCACCCATCAGTTCACACAGAGGCTTGCCAGAGTCCCAGAGAAAAGAACAGAAAAGCCCGGGCTCCCGACTCCTAGCAGGAGGCTTCTTTGCTTTCTTTTCTTTTTTTTTTTTTTTTTTGGTTTTTGGGCCACTTGTGGCTCTTCACTCAGGAACCACCACTCCTGGCATGCTCAGGGGACCCTATGGGATGCCGGGGATCGAACCCGAGTCAGCTGCTCTGTACAAGGCCAACGCCCTCCCGCTGTCCCATCTTTAGGAGAGGGAAGAAAACAGTCCCTGGAGGTAAGACAGCAGCAAAGGGTACAGCCCCATCAGAGCAGACGCCAGCAGGAGTCTCTCAGGCCGCTCCGAGTCCCCATGACCAAGGGTGGGGGCAGGCGGTGTGGGCAGCAGAGGGAGTGCCGGCCTCAGGAGCGGAACCTGACACCAAATGCGCCTGAGCCTCGCTTCAGGGCTGGCGACTGACCACAAATGAGCTCCTGCAGCACTCGGCCATGGAAACTGGAGAAACGGGCCGGAGCGATAGCGTCGCGGGGAGGGCGCTAGCCTTGCACACAGCCGGCCCAGGTTCTATCCCTGGCACCCGGAGCCCACTGGGGGATGACCCAGAGGTAGCCTGAGCATCACCGGGTGTGGACACTGCCCCCACTGCAGAAACAAAAGAGGGGCAGGGGGGAACATGCCTGGATCACAGGGCTGTCTCGAGCAAGACCCATCTGCCAAGACACGGTGGGTGACGCTGTACCTGCTGTCCAAGCCACCCCGTCATTTGCACCCATCATCTCCGCAGACCCCTCTGCCTCAGAGGGCAGCACGTCTAGACCATGTGCTGGCTCAGACAGCCCCTAGAGTCGCAGGCCGAGGCCTATGGAAACACTTTCCTGCACGAGTCTTTGTTGAACCACTTTAACATTGGTTTTTAAAAAAAGGTTTTTTGGTTTGTTTTTGTTTTTGTTTTTGTTTTTTTTGCTTTTTGGGTCACACCCAGCGACGCTTCAGGGTTCCTCCTGGCTCTGCACTCAGGAATTACTCTTGGGGTGCTTGGGGGACCCTATGGGTTGCCAGGGATTGATCCCGGGTTGGCCACGTGCAAGGAAAACGCCCTACCCACTGTACTACCGCTCCGGCCCCTAAATAAATGTTTTTAAATTTATTTGGGGGTGCCAAGTTATTGGGCCACATCCAGCAATGCTCAGGGGACTTATGCAGTGCCAGAAATTGAACCAGTGTCAACCGCAAGAAACACAAGAGCCTTAACCCTGGTATTCTGCCCCTCCTCAAAATTTTTTAAGGCAGCAGCGCAAGGAGCACTAAGCTGGTGGGCAGGGCTGCCACCCCTCAGGCGAATGAGTGACTCATGAAGAGGCCCAAGACAGACAGGGGGAGAGGTTGATCAGGATCCAGAGGGAGGTCAAGTCAGAGTCATGTCTGCATGTGGCTAGCATCAGAGGGTGCCCTGAGCACTGACAGGGCGTGTGTGTCCCTCCACTGCGGGGCCCTTCCAGTAGGACCCTCAGGCCTTCCCATTCAACTGCCAACTGTTGCCTGAAAACTGCCAGGGGCAGTCCCAGACCCCAGCTGGGAAGGCCTCCCCCCACCCCCAAGAAAGAATGCCTATCACCCCAACATTCAGGGGATGACAGGAAATGGAGGGCCTGCAACTTCCTGGGATGACAGTGCAGAACTATGGAAATTCCAACTTGTTCCACGGGCAAAGGGAAGGCGTTCTGGCTCGGATACACGTGAGGCAGCTGGCGCAGACCCAGCGTTGGACGCTCGAGCATGTGGGCATTCTCCACATTCATCCCCTCCATGCCAGCCTGCCTCACGGGCAGCTCCAACGCTCACACAGAAACAGGCAAAGGTTAGCACTGGCCTGCTGCCCGGGGCGGCCAAGTTCAGGCTGTGGGCCGGAGGGGGAGGGCAAAGGCTTACAGGGGTCCCACCAACCTCATCACGTCTCCCTGAACTATGACCAGAGCTTCCTGGAATTTTTTTTTTTTTTTTGCTTTTTGGGTCACACCCGGCGATGCACAGGGGTCACACCTGGTTCTGCACTCAGGAATCACCCCTGGCGGTGCTCAGGGGACAATATGGGATGCTGGGAATCGAACCCAGGTCGGCTGCGTGCAAGGCAAACGCCCTACCTGCTGTGCTATTACTCCAGCCCCAGCTTCCTGAATATTTTGATTCACTGGGGCAACATCCCAGAGCCAGCGAAATTCAAAAGAGCTACGAGCCCTTGAGGCCAAGAGAAAGTATGGGAGGCAGGCACGAAGCAGCAGACCCGGGTTCGATCCCCGGCACCCCATATGGTCCCCCGAGCCCCATCAGGAATGACCCTGAGCACAGTTTGGCCCCCCCAAAAATACAAAGTCAAACAAACAAGCAAAGAGCTACTGGCCTGGGGCCGGAGTAATAGTACAGTGGGGAGGGCGTTTGTCTTGCATGCTGCCGACCTGGGTTCAGCCCCCGGCATCCCATATAGTCCCCCAAACACCGCCAGGAGTAATTTCTGAGTGCATGGGCCAAGAGTAACCCCTGAGCCATCGCTGGGTGTGGCCCAAAAAAGCAAAAAAAAAAAAAAAAGAAAAGCTACTGTCCTGAGGGACTGGGGGCAGGGTGCTGAGGTGTTTAAGGAAAGACTAGTGCTCCCTGTCAGTGCTCTCTGCCAAGTGTGGAGGGGGGCCCCTGTGGGAAGAGCCTCTTAGCGGCCTGTTAGGGAGGTGGTCGGGCAACCTGTAACCCACTCAGTCGAAGGAGCCCAGGGCCACAGATATCTGCTCGGCCTGGCCCTGGCATGCTACAGGAGGCGCTCAGGAGAACGTCATCCCCAAGGATCCTCCACCAGCTCTCAGCCCCACCCCCCCCCTCCGCAGCCCACACACCCTCACACACGGACACCCCTGGGTGCCCCCCTTCTTGTCGGTCACATCTCTCAGCTTGTCCCCCATGTGGTCTCCACCCCAACCCCCCCTCCATGTCAGCCCCCCAATCACAAAAAGCCACGACAGGGGTGACAGCACAGCGGGCAGGGCGTTTGCCTTGCACACGGCTGACCTGGGTTCAATTCCCAGCATCCCATATGGTCCCCTGAGCACCGCCAGGGGTGATTCCTGAGTGTAGAGCCAGGAGTAACCATCACCAAGTGTGACCCAAAAAGCAAAAAAAAAAAAAAAAAAAAAAGCCACAACAGCTCCCCACTAGTGATCTCACAATCTCAAAGGGATTCGGGTCCTCGGGACCTGGTCCAGCCTCAGCTTAGACGACCTGTCCTCCTGGGGGCCACCAGCCATGCCAGGCGACCTGGTCTCCTGGGTTCCACCAGCCACGCCGGGCTTGATGCCCCAGATGGCCAAGCGTGGGTCCCACCTCCTCCCCGGGGCCTCTGGGTGCCTGCTCTTGCGCGATGCCCTCTTCCCTCCCGCCATCTGTGGGTGCCAGCCCCCAGGCCCAGCCCGAGCTGCCCTGAGTTCCCTAGGGCACTGATGGGCCTTTTTTCCTCTCTGCCAGCAGGAGACACGGCTGGCTTAAGCGCTACCTCTGACTCAGGGTGGGGCCACATTCCTTCCGGGACACTTCGGGGAGGGGGGCACAGGTTCGGACCCCAGCACCCCATATGGCCATCCAAACATGCCAGGAGTGAACCCTGAGCACCGCCAAGTGTGGTCCAGAAACCAAATCACCACCACAAAAAAACAGCGCTCACAGCCCCCTGCTGACCCCATGGGCTGGGGACCCGCCGCCTCTTCCTTTTTTTTTGGGGGGGGGGGTTTTGTTTCTTGCTTTTTGGGTCACACCTGGCAATGCACAGGGGTCACTCATGGCTCTGTACTCGGGAATCACTCCCGGCAGTGCTCAGGGGACCATATGGGATGCTGGGAATCGAACCCAGGTCGGCCGCATGCAAGACAAACGCCCTCCCCGCTGTGCTATCGCTCCAGCCCCCACCACCTCTTTCAAGCTTCAAAAGGGCCCCGAGAGCCAGGCATCTGGGTCCCCGTCGGACAGGAGGGTATGGGAAGCCTAGGAAGGTCTCAGGATCGGCCCGCAACCCAGGGCCATCTACACGCCGAGCAGCGAGGCCCGGGTGGGAGCTTCAGAGCATGTGGGGGCAGAACCCAGTTTCGAGTACGAAGTCATGATGTGCGCGCGGCCTAGGACAGCCAGCGAGCAGGGACAGAGTCGGGGCCACTCTCTGCCAGCGAGGTCACAGCTGGCCTGATCTCCGCCCAGCCCGGGGCCTCCCCGAGGTCTCTTACCACATCGGCGAGGCAGCGCCAGGGGCGGGCAGACGGCTGGGCACACGGCGTCTCCGCCCTCGTTCCCTGGGGCGCAGGGACAGGAGAGGGGCCTAGATGATCCCCCCCAGTTTGCTGTGAAGGAAGACCAGGCCCTTTTCCAGCTGCCTCTCCCGGGCCGCGGGGTCCTCGAGCTTCTGGTTCTTCCGGAACTCGCGGCGGATGGAGGCCAGGTAGAAGCCCCGGTCAGTGTAGCGCAGCGCCCGGCCCTGGCGCAGCAGAGCCCGGTAGAGACTCAGCACCGCCTCGCGGCTCCAGGGGGCCATGGGGGATGGGCGGGGGCTGGGCGTCGAGCTGCGGGAAGGGCAGACACCAGCATCAGGTGAGGTCCGGCATCAAGTGAGGTCTGGCAGCGACTCTCCACACCTTCCTCCCCAGGTCCCAGTGTGCTGGACCCTGTGACAGGCAGGGCTGCCCTCAGCCCTGACCCCACTCCCCAGCAGTGACAGGCTCTACTGAAAGGGCTTGGCGGCTGCCAAACCGGCCACTGACAGGCCATGTGACTTTGGACAGGGCTGCTACCCTGAGCCTCAAAGCAGACACATCCAGGGGGGTCTCAGCCACACAGGCCTCCCTACACCGCCCCCCTCCAGGGCTCATAACCCTTCACCTCTTTATCCTGCCTTGCCTAGAACTGAGGACCGGGCAGTACTTTGCCCACAGGACTGGGATGAGGACTCGGGGGATGGTGGGTGGAGTCGCACTCTTTCTCCTGGTTAGCAAGTGCTCAATAAACAGCAGATCTAGCAGCACACACAGGCTACTACGAACCCGGGGGTCAGGACTGGCGCTGTACCCAGCACAACCAATTGGAGGAAGTGAGGAGGGGTCCGGGAGATGGGGGGGGGGGGGGTGAGGGGGGCTAGCCGGGGCTGATGGATTCCAGGCACCACATGGTGCAGCCTTGGAGCCCCCAAGCACCCGGGAGGTGGCCTGAGTCAGCACTGCACCCTTGAACCCTTGCACCTGTGCATCCCTGAGCCTCCTGGGCACTGCCTGGGAGCCCCCCACCAAAAAAATTTTAAAAAAAAAAGGAAGCTGGTTCAGACCAGTTAACCCTCATTCTTCCTGCACCCCAGCCCGGCGCCTCCCTCTGACAGCACCTTCCTTCCACTAAGCGCCCCGGGACCCCTCACCCCGGAGGCAGCAGCTCCCCGAGGGGGCGTCACGCACGCACAACTGGCCCGGGGGATGGGGGGCGGCCCCGGACCCCGCACTCTGGGAAGCACCAACGCGGGACCAGCGCCCAGCGGGGCAATCCACACCCGAGCTCAGACCCCCAAGAGGAGGGCCAAGAGGGGGGGCTACCCCGCGCGGGCCCCCCCGTTCCGGAAGCGGGGACCAGGGGGGTCGGCCAGGCAACGGAGGCGCGGACTCGGGGTCCCGCCGGCCACCCCAGCCCCCGGCCCCACCCCCACGCCGAGTGCGGCACGCCCGGACCGGGCGGGGGGTGCGGGCCCGGCGAAGGGCGCTTTGTGAGGTCGGCGGCGCCGCCACGCCGGGCCCGGCCGCGACCCCCCCCACCGGCGCGTCCCCCCCCCGGGGAGCCCCGGAAAACTGGGCCGGGCGGAACCGGGGCGCCCCCGGGTGCGGGGCGGGGCCCGGCGCGGCCTCCCGGGACGGACGGAGCCCGGGGCCCCGGCGGCCGGGCCGCTCGCTCACCCGCGGACCGCGCGCGCCTCCTCGCCGCCTCGGGACTCGCCTGCCGCCGGCCACCGCTCCCGGGGTCACTCACCAACATGGCCCCTTCACTTCCGGGACGTGACCTTGCGCGCCGAGCCCAGGGGCGGGGCTGAACCCGGCCCGGAGGCGGGCCGAGGCGGGAGGACTTCCGGTCTGCGCGGCCAAGGCCTTCCTCCCGGGGGCGGGGCCGGCCCTGAGGCCCCGCCTCCTCCCCGATGGCACCGCCCATCGCCCCGAGCCCCGCCTCCAGCTGTCATCAGGCCCCGCCCCCTGAAGGGCGCGTGCGATGGTTTCCCGAGTGGGCGTGGCCTCTTGCCGGGTCCGGCCGGCCCACCCGCAGGAGACCCCCACCCCTCCCCGGAATCCAGTGGCATCTGCTGATCCCGTGCTGGGCCTTGAGGGTTCCCTGGAGGAAATCCGGCACACCTAATAACATGACTTTCTTTTTTTTTTTGCTTTTTTTTGGGGGGGGAGTCACACCCGGCGATGCACAGGGGTTACTCCTGGCTCTGCACTCAGGAATTACCCCTGGCAGTGCTCAGGGGACCATATGGGACGCTGGGAATCGAACCCGGGTCGGCTGTGTGCAAGGCAAACACCCTACCCGCTGTGCTATTGCTCCAGCCCCGACTTTCTTTTTTTTTTCTTTTTTTTCTTTTGCTTTTTGGGTCACACCCACCGTTGTTCAGGGGTTTCTACTGCCTCTGCACTCAGGAGTCTCTCCCAGCGGTGCTCAGGGGACCCTATGGGATGTCGGGGATCGAACCTGGGTCGGCTGCTTACAAGGCAAATGCCACCCTCCTTCTCCCCCCTCCCCCCGCCACATTGTACTATTGCTCTGGTCCAGCATGACTTCAAAAGCTCTTTCAAGCCTTAGAATGCTTCTTGCTTTTTGTGTCACACCTAAGGATGTTCCAGGGGTTACTCCTGGCTCTGCACTCAGGAATTACTCCTGGTAGTGCTGGGGGGACCCTATGGGATGCTGAAGATCGAACCCGGGTCGGCCGCGTGCCAGGCAAACGCCCTCCCCACTGTACTATGGCACTGGCCCCTAATGCTTGCTTTCCATCCTTCCCAGCCTTTTGAGCCATCTTGCCAGCCTCTGGGTACTGTCTTATTGTTCTTTGGTTTTATTTAGGGCTATATCTGATACTGCTGAGGGTCTGGCTTGGTCCCTGTTGGTGCTGGGGTACCAGTGAGTCCTGCGCTATTTTCTAGTTAATCCATTTCCGACGCTCATCGATACTCATGTGTGACCCCTGACAGTGCTGGTGGATCATATGGAGCCAGAGATCAAATCTCATCAGCCAGGCAGGCATCTTACCTTGTACTGTCTCACTGTCTCTCTGGTCCAGGAGTCTTCACAGAACCTGCCACCCCACCCTCCCTGTACCCACCCCTCCATCCCGCCAAGGAATGTTCATCTCTTTAAAAAGAGGAACTTGGGAAGTGACATCTGCACTTGTTTGTTCATTGCAGCACTCTTTACAATAGCCAGAAACTGGAAGAAACCTGAATGCCCAAGAACAGATGACTGGTTAAAGAAACTTTGGTACATCTACACAATGGAGTACTATGTAGCTCTTAGAAAAGATGAAGTCATGAAATTTACATACAAGTGGTACAATATGGAAAGTATCATGCTAAGCGAAATGAGTCAGAAAGAGAGGGATAGACATAGAAAGACTGCATTCATCTGGGGGATATAAAGTAACAAAGTATGAGATTAATACCCAAGAATAGCTGAGATCAGCACCAGGAGGATTACTCCATAACTTAGAGGCCAGCCGGGTATCCTAGAGGAAAGGGCAGTTCAGATAGAGAAGGGAGCACCAAATAAAGGATGTTTGGAGGATCCTCCCAGGAGGGGAGATGCATGTCGAAAGTAGACTATGAACTGAACATGTTTGCCACTCAATGCCTCTTTTGCAGACCACAGCACCCAGGGAGAGAGAGAGAACAGAAGGGAATGCCCTGCCACAGAGGCAGGGTGGGATGGGAGGGATGGGGGTGGGAGGGATATTATCCATGGTGGTGGAAAATGGGCACTGGTGGAGGGATGGGTATTTGATCATTGTATAACCAAAACCCAAGCACAAAAATGTGTAAACCTACAACTGTACCTCATGGTGTTTCACTGATAAAAATAAAAATTAAAAAATAAATGAGGAACTTGGGGCTGGAGTGATAGCAGAGCGGGTAGGGCGTTTGCCCTGCACGTGGCCGACCCAGGTTCGATTCCCAGCATCCCATATGGTCCCTTGAGCACCGCCAGCAGTAATTCCTGAGTGCAAATCCAGGAGTAACCCCTGAGCATCGCTGGGTGTGACCCAAAAAGCAAAAATAAAATAAATAAATAATAAAAAGAGGAACTTGAGGGGCTGGAGCAAGCCTTTTACGCAGTTGACCCAGATTGGATGCCTGGCATTCCATAGGTTTCCCTGAGCACCCCCAGGAGCAATTCCTGAGTGCAGAGCCAGGAGTAACCCCTAAGCATTGCCGGATGTGGTTCAGAAAAAAAAAAGAGGAACTTGACACTTAGGAATCAGGTCCAACTGGCTCTGGGTTGGTTGCAGCTGGCAGCGTGCCTAGCCTCAGTGTGGGCATGGTTAAAGGTGTCCAGCTTGAGGGGTGTGACCTTCCTCAACAATCTGGTCGTGGGTCCGTAAGGCTCTAAGGTGCAAAGCACTGCTTTGGGCATTGCAGAGGGTCCTCTGGGGTGGAGGGGGGTGGGGGAACCAGCTCCAGAAATCCTGGGTGAGAGGAAGGAAGAAATGGGAGCACCCGGGTTAAGGCAGTTAAGGTGCCCAGAGGGGCGTCGGGAGCAACCCTGAGTGTTGAATATTAACCCTAAGTGCTTTAGGCTTCATCAGTGAATTGCCCCCTTTCCTCCTCCCAGAGAAGCTTACGCTCTTGCTAGCATCCCTAATTTAGCTAAAGATTATCTTATCTTTAGGGGCTGAAGCGATAACATGCATCCCATATCATCCCCCCCACCCCAGCACCGCCAGGAGTAATTCCTGAGTGCATGAGCCAGGAGTAACCCCTGTGCATTGCCCGGTCATGGTCACGGTCCTCCCGTTGTTCATCGATTTGCTCGAGCGGGCCCAGTAACATCTCCATTGTGAGACTTGTTGTTACTGTGTTTGGCATTTCGAATACGTCACGGGTAGCTTGCCAGGCTCTGCTGTGCGGGCGAGATACTCTCGGTAGCTTGCCAGGCTCTCCAACAGGGGCAGAGGAATCGAACTCGGGTCGGCCAGGTTGGCTGCGTGCAAGGCAAATGCCCTACCGCTGGGCTGGAGCTCTAGCCCCATTGCCAGGTGTGACCCAAAAATAAAATAAAATAAAAAATAAAGATTATCTTTAACCTTTCCTTTGTGTTTTACCTCTCATTGTCACAGTTCCCCAAGTCAGTCTTGATTATTTATGAGTCAAAACTTTCTGGTAATTCTGAACTTTGTATTTGTACTGCTTTGTATTTGAAGTGCTGTATATTGGTACCCGCTTTTCTATTTAGCCTTTTATACTTTATTATAGCCTTTTTATACTTTACTACAGAGCAATGTTCTTTGGCTACACACAGAAAGACCATTAATGCTATGCTCCTGATATTTGGGAGTTGATTGACCTTGAAATATATCTACCCCTGGGCATTCGTCATGGTCACGGTCACGGTCCTCCCGTTACTCATCGATTTGCTCGAGCGGGCCCAGTAACATCTCCATCGTGAGACTTGTTGTTACTGTGTTTGGCATATCGAATACGTCACGGGGAGCTTGCCAGGCTTTGCCGTGCGGGCGAGATACTCTCGGTAGCTTGGCGGGCTCTCCGAGAGGGGTGAAGGAATCGAACTCGGGTCAGCCATATTGGCCGCTTGCAAGGCAAACGCCTTACCCGCTGTGCTATCGCTCCAGCCCCCATCATAATTACCCGACTCAGGCTTCAGTTGTTATTGTTCCTAATACCCCAAAAGAGAGGTCCTGCCATGGGACTGGAAAGGACCCAGGGCGAGTGGTGAAGCTCCCCTGGCATTGAAATGGAACAATCTAGAAAACATAAAGGCATGATCTTGATGCAAGCTGTTATGACTTAAGAGACAGCACCCCCAAGGGGAAGGACAGGCCTGAGGACTTAGTCTGGAATTTACGGTAAAAGCCTGGCTTGCTCTCAGAGCCCAGACAAGTAAGTGTTGGGATCTTTGTCTCTTACCGTGTTTATCCAAACAAGTATTGGTAACATATACAGCTAGAGGGAAAGATAAAAGCAGTGTAGATGTTCCTGGGAGACAGAGCATCCCCTTGAGTTACTCTCCCCAAGAGAATTTCCTCTGCCAAATGTTTATCTCCGTAAATGATCAATCACACCCATGTCCTTCCCTCAAGCCCCCTCAGATGTTCTATAAGTAAGCTAGCAGCTCTGCATTAGATGGGCCATTTTTACCATCAGGCTGTGGTCCTCTGTCTCCCGTCTGCCTGTCTCCCAGTTTGTCTCTCTGCTGGAGAGGCCTGGGGAGGCGGCTCTGGGCCACCGACCACGCAAGCATCATCGTCTCGGCACCGCGCCCACATTTTCTTTTGGGAACTCACACCTGAGCACCACCAGGTGTGGCCCCCTCCTCCACCAAATGGAAAAAGCAAGAAGGCAGGTGCCGGCGGACCATACAGGGCAGAGGGACGGGCGCCCCAGATGGGGGACAGGAGATTCCCCCAGTCCGAGGAGCGGGGAGCTGGATGAAGCAGGAAGTGGCATCCTCGTGGGGGCGCCAGGTGTAGGAAAGGAGCCTGCAGAGGTCTGGGGTGAAGGATGGGCACTGACTCCGCCCCCCACCGTTGCCCCCCTGACCCCGGTCTCTGCCCCCTCATGTCACACAGCAGCTCTCCCATGTGGCTGATGGCCAGGGCCTCCACTGTGAATGCAAGGATGGGTGTGGTGTCCCCTGGCTCCTCCTGGGGACTTAGTGGCCAGGCAAACAGGTGGCAGGGGTGCTATTCTGAAGACTTTGGGGTCACCTTCAGGGACAGTCTTGCATGACTGAAACACACGTGGTGGGGGCCGTCAGGGTGCCTCTCA